CTTCTCCTTCTCCTTCTCCTTCTCCTCCTCCTCCTCCTTCCCCTTCTCTTCTCCTTCTTTTCTCCTTCTCCTTCTCCTTCCCCAGGTCCCACATCTCAATGCGTTTGGGTTTCAGCCCAGTGCTCCCTTCCCGTTCCGTGACCTCCTCACCGGGACTGAGATGAAGAAAAGGGGTAAAAAGATGTGTGGTTTGTCTGCAAATCCATCGGAGACATGAAAAGGATCTTAAGATAAATTAAAGGTAACAAACACCTTTAATCACCACCTTAAGCACAGCTTTTTTTAAGACCCAGGAGTCTTAAAGTTGAACACAACAACTGCTTAAAGGCCAAAGGGACTCAGTTGCTCCCAGGGCATGTAAATGTGTATTTAAACAGATGCATTAACACAGCTCAAACACAGCAATTTGGATTTTTCTGAAGTGCAAAAGTAAGCACATTACTTATTTTTCTTGCAGGGATTTTTGCATAGGCATTAGCTGTAAAAGTAGACTGGTTTTGTTTGTGCTGAAGACAAATCTGTCAGTCTGGGCCATGAGGGGCATTACAATGACTTTACAGAGCTGCTGATACTGTACATAGGCCAAGAGCCCTTTTTTTTGCTTTGCTAAGTGCAAGTGCTGCTTAACAGTAAACAGACTCAAAATTCCCTGTGCTAAACACCCCTTCTATCAGCCCAGGCACCTCGAGAAGGCTCAGGCTGATTTTAAAGCTGAACAGTTTCTTTCTTTGCCATTTACCAGGTGACATAATGGCTGCTTTGTTCAATAAACACCTATTTCCCAGTTTTCCCCTGACATTCCCTGTGCTCTTCACCAACCAGAGAGCAGCAGTTCATGCTGCAGCTCTTTGCTGAGAGCTTGGGAGCCCAGAGCTCTTAGATGTGTTGGGGCTGGGAATACCAGACTTCTCACCACCAGAAATTATTTGTAACTTAATTGTAACTAATCTTTCCTGCTCCAACAGTTGTAGAAATAATCTCATACAAATCTGACCATAACTGGATTGTTTAAACCGTAAGTGTTAGGGATCAATCCTTCAGAAACAGGGCTACCACTGCCCCTGTAAATCCTCTGGATTTTCTGTTAATTTTAAACATGGTTTTTGGAGAGTTTAAATTTTCAAACCTTGGCTGTGAAGGCATTTCTTTATCACCAATTATACACATGACATGCATCCAAATGCTTTTGTCACAGACTTGGAGAGGTTGGGAGGAACCTCTGGAGCTCATCTGGTCCAGCTCCCAGCTCCAGGGGTACACCCAGCAGGTTCCCTTGGGCTTTCTCAGAGGCTTTGCTGCAGATGGAACAAAATGAAGGTGTCTAGAATGGAGTATCCAGGAACATTCATGAAAGCTGCAATACCCAAAGCAAGATTTGTCTAAGAAAATTAAATTTCGTATTTGTATCCTGTGAATTTCGGTTCCTTTATCTACTATTCCAACCAAAGTGTGAATGGAATATCTAATTTCTTGGGAGCCACAACGTCAGGGGAAAGGAAACAGTTGTTAGTTTACGTTTATTTCTTCACTCCTGGCTCTGCACCTCTCACCTGTGTATGTTCAGCACACAGGGTGGGCTCAGCTCACCTTCCCACTCCCAAGGGACCAGCTGCCCTGTGTGTGGAAGAAGAAATCTTATATTGAATTTTTCTTTAAGTTTGAGGGCATCCCACTCCCCTTCTGGAGTAAGGTTTGAAGCTTCAGTGATTCTTCAGTGCTCACAGAGACAGGTTTTTCAAACAGTGTATTTCAGCAGGAAAGGGAGGGTTATGCCACCAGTGCAGAGACATGGAGAGCATTCCCAATAACCACAGCTGGAAAACAGCAGGGAGGACAGGGATCTACAATGTGGATAAACAAACTGTGTGTGCTTAGTCCCAACTGACAACACTGAAGATACAGTCCACAAAAAAACCTAAAATTACAGAGATAGAAAAATAGCATTGCTAAATTTGAATGCTAATTTGAAGGCTGCAAGTATATGTCAAAATCTGATTAAAATGTTCAATACCACGAGTATGTGTTGCCCTTTTTTAACTCCAAAACATATCAAGTGAAAGATATGAACTCCAAAATATATCAACAGCAAACTCCGAAATATGTCAATATATCAAATCTCTGAGCATCTCTTCATAAAATACCTGGGATTTATAAGCAGAGGTTTATACATCCACAAAGTCATTTCTTCTTCTTCCCCAGAGTAAATTTGGGTGGGTTATAAACACAAACCTGCAGCCAGTTACAGAATATGCAGTGAATCAATACAGGCAATGATACCCTTTCAGAATGAATCTTTGCACACACCACTTTGCAAACCCAATACGAAACACGCTTTTATTTCTGCTTAGTGGTGAGCAGAGCAGCACATCTCACTCACACTCCTCTGGAAGCTTTACATGGTACAGAGCTTCTGTGGCTTAGTGCAGTAGTTGGTCCTGACCCTCTCCCTGACACAGTCACTGTAGTCAGTGTTGCACTTGCCACACTTGCAGCTCAAAGCCACGGGGTAGGAGTAGTAGGGGGCGGTGTGGTGAGGGCAGCCCGGGATCAGCGCTGTCTGGTACGACATCTCTTTGTACGTGCACACGTTCTGGGACAGAGCACTCTTGAGCAGCAGCTTCTTGCCATTGCTGTCCTACAAAGAAAAGAGAAACGTGTTGTTTAACTGAAGCTCACGTGTCAGAAGCTTCCTGGGGAGTGCAGAGACCAAACCTCTCGTGCTTAGCCCGGCTCTGGCATTACTCTGTTCAGAGCTGTAGTTTTGAAGCTGCTTGTGGCTGGGGATCTCTCCACACATAGATGCATTCACCTTGTTCTTGTGGTTTAATTAATCCACTGGCCTCAGAGTGCTCCCAGTGCTTTGGGATCTGTGCTGGCTCCCTGCTGGAAGGCAACTTTAAGTGCTGTGTTGAGCAGTGAAGCTCAAGCACAATGTGTGGTGTGGCCACTGGAGAGCTGTTCCCACAGCCAGCTGGGATAGCAGCAGAGGGAGGAGAAGTAGCCTAAGTTATTTACATTAATTAAGAGTGACCAAATATAATCTGCTCCTCATTTCTTCCATCCTGCCCCCACAAAGTGCCTCCAGAGGCTCTGCAGTGGCAGCAGCAGCCAGGTCTCTGCTGTGCCACTGCTGTTATCAACTCCGTAGTTCCGGAGGCTTCGCGTTCCTCACCCTTACCTTTGCAAAAACCTAACTTGGAAACGTGATGGTGGCGAAGTTTTCAGAATTAGATCGTTTACACTCTGTTTTCTGCGAGAACAGACACTTGGGCTGCAGTGGTGCTACAGAAATACCTGCCTAAGGCAGAGCAAGGCCTCCTACCCGAGTCATGCAGAATCCGGCGCAGATGGTGGTGTTGATGGCCAGGCAATAGGCACATTCCCGTTTTTCCACGTGGATTGTGTACTCAGAGGGAGCACAAAGTGAGGCTGTTTGTCCGAAAGTCAGGCCAAAGAGGAGAGACACCACAAAGAAAGGCCTCATGCTAGATGGGGAAGAACAAACAAACAAACAAAGCAAACTCCGAGTAAAATGGGATGTACCTTCCAGCCCTTTCCTTGGCATTCAACTGGAACAGTCAGGACAGTCACAGACTAGGAGTAATACCAATTTTTTTAGTTACAGCCTGACAACTTCTTTCCAGTCTCAGACCTTTAACTGAAGTAGTACCAACTGCTAAACAAAAAACAAGGGTAAACAGGCCATTAAAAAGAGAACAAATTCAATTTTCCCCCACTAAAGTATATTACGTGGAACTTCTCACTAATCAGTGACAAAATGCTGACAAAGAAAAAATAACAGGAGCTGAAGGATTTGAAAATGTGACATGCTAGAGAATATGAGCTCTATTAACCCAAAATATTAAAATAATCTCACTTGTTTAGAAACAATTTCCTAAGAAGAGCATCATTTAAAATGTTCAAGAGAGAAAAAGACACAACTGTGCATATCAGGCATAAAACTGGATTTTTCAATTTCCAGTTGGCTTAGAGCAGTGATGAAATGGGAACACTGCCAAGAATTAAAAAACAGATTCAAGCAAATTACAATAAAGAACATCAGCAAAGAGTTCAACTCCACCAATCCCTCTCTGTCTGTCTCCTGTGCTGACCTCATTTCTCAGACCTGCTGGGGGATCCTGACAACAAAGCCTTGAGTAGCTCCAAGACAATTCCAGGAACTACTCTAGAGCCTCTAAATGACAAAATTTAAATGGCAGTGTCTACCAACATCTGGCCATCACCTTCCAGTTTCTTCCAGCTGCCAGTTTCCCATAGAAAAGCCATTCATTTCAGAGCCTGGTTTACCCTGTAGCTGCCACAGTGAAAGTCTGGAAAGACCAACCTCTTGTCAGTGGAATTCTTCCCTATTACAGGAACCTGGCTCTGCCTTGAGCTGGGAGAGGCAGTGACCCAGCACAAGCTCTGTGTGTGCTTTATACTCTCCTGGCTAATTCCAGGCTGATCTTACTGTTTATATAATTGCATCTGAATTACTGCTTTCTTATCACAAAGTCATCTATTGAAAATTCATACTGAACCACAAAGCAAATGTGATAGGAACAAACGTGTCCATAATATCCTAACCTGGAAACTGGAGCTGGAAATCTAATTATTTTAACAGTCATTCTCTCCTCAGGCTTTTAAACTAACCACTGCTTAAAAAAATTAGTTTAATCACTGCATAGGACAGCAACATCATGGCAGGAAGGCTGGCATGGAAATGGACTCCTCCTGAATCTCAGATGATGAATTTTACACCTGTGTTTTGCTAAAGTTTAATGAGGTCTGGTTCACTCTGTTTGCTGGTTACCAGGCAGGCACAGCTGGGAGATGATGGCACAAGTTGCCCAGAGAAGCTGTGGCTACCCCATCCCTAGAAATGTCCAAGGCCAGGTTGGACAGGGCTTGGAGCAACCTGGGCTAGTGGAAGGTGTCCCTGCCCATGGCAGGGAGTGGAATGAGATGAGCCTTAAAGTCCCTTCCAGCCCAAACCATTCTGGGATGTGCTGTGTCCATGCAGTGCCCATAAAATAACAAATCTGCAATCAAAGCAGTTGCTGTGCAGTGCTTGGCTCCAGCCTAATTTCCCTGCTCAAGCAAAACACACTGAGAACTTCACTGGTCTTGAACCTACTGAGCAAATATTGAAGCAACAAGCAATTAAATCCTAATTGGTAGGTAAAAACCTTTACAAAACCACGCCTCACAGCACAATGAGAAACGAAATATTGCACCAACACCAAAGAAAGAGATGTCCCCAGACAGGGGAAAACACTCACATTTAGGGCCTTGAGTATCACTTGGGAGGAGCGAGAGCAGGATGGATTCAACAAAGCCACTGTTCTCTGTCAGCCTCTCCCCATGCTCCCTGTCTGCCGTTCTGGGAACACTCACCCTTCCAGGTAATCACCCAACTGCCGTCTGGAATTTGATCTGAGGGATGTCTTACGCAAGTCAACCACATTCCTGAGTTACGTGGCCATAAGAATTATGAAAAACGTGAGTCTGGGCTAGTAAACGTGGTCACTTTGGGCTGCTGGGGGAGTGATCCAGTCCATCCCAGCTGCTGTTTAGCCAATTCCTGAGTAATATTGTCTCCTTTCTCTGTGGTTTCAGACTGCTGCACACAGCTCTGTGTCCTGGGCTAATTTTCCAAGGATTTTTTGGGATAATATAATAGAGTTCTTGCTCTATTAACACTAGCCAAATGCTTTTTCTTTCATAGAATCTTTAACTCTGGGTTAATTTCTACTGTACAATTTCTCAGGAATTAAATATAACTCTTTCTGGCTTAGGGACACGAGCAGAGTATTAATTGTACTCTCAGAAACATATGTCCATCTCACTTAGCAACAGGAGACTTACTTTGCTACTACTCCAGCACGTTATTTAGCTCTGTGTTTTTCTCACATATTTTAGATACAAACACTCAGGCTCTTTGAGTATATAAATACATAACCCAAACAAAGATTATATATATATATATATATGGATATGTATATACACACTACATGTATGTGTATGGGTTTGGTTGTTTGAAGCTTTAATCACAGAAAAGAGTGTTTGTTCCTGGGAAATCTAAAGAGCATTTCAACAGAGACAAAGAATCTGAAAGGAAAAGGAAGCATTTCGTAAAATTAAATCCTAGAGAGGACAAAAAGTGCTCAAAGTAAGAATTAAAAAGTAGCATTCTCAAAGCAAGGGTATCACATGTGACCCTTGCATGCACAGCTGATTCTCTCCTCTGAAGAGTTCACAGCTTTAGGCAGTTGGAGCTGGATTTGTGTACCCTGGACCTGACAGGGAGACCCCCACACCTGGGTTTGAAGTGTCTCAACACACCCAACAAGAAGAGAGGCAGAGAACAGGTCAGAGTGTGAAGACATATATTCTTTGCTTCCTCAAAGTGCTAGTTTCTCAGATTTGAGAAAAATAGGAGTAAGGAGGGGGGGACTGAGATTAGGGTAAAAAGGGTTTAAGAATTTCCTTTAACAAGATTTAGGGAAATGTCTGCAAACATCAGCAGCAAATTAGAACAGTGCTTGAAAGTCTACCATAGTGAAGATGAAAAAGAGAGTGCAACAATAAAAACTATAGCAAGAAAAAAGAGGAAAACCAACAACAATCACTGCTGGAAGTGAGAAAATGTAGAAAACTTGCACAGGAAGCTGGAGAGTAGGAAATAAACTTCTGCCAGGCCAGAGGCCAACAGTAAAGCCAAGGGACATTAGGAGATAAAGACAAGCTGTTGATGCAAAAGTTTCAGCAAGTACTTGTGCATTTGAAAACATAGTGGCTGAACAACCATCTCAAAGATTGTAACAAAGATTATGAAATAAATCATATAAGGAATAAGTATTTTAAACTCAACATGATTAGCTGCCTAATGCTGATTTCAACAGGTCTGGAATACTGAGGAAATATCAAAACATTTTAAAAAAGTGCTAATATTATGGCAATGTTTAAGGAGAGAGTGTTGACCCAGGTAACTCTCCACCAGCCAGGTAAAATAACAGAAAGCTGATACAGGATTTGAGCAATAAAGAATTAACAGATGAAAACATATTTAATGGCCGTTAAGATGATGTTACATAAAACAGGTCATGCCACACAAACCCAATTTCATTCTTTGCACTGATTACAAATTTGGTTGTTAAGGGAATTACAGAGATGCAATGCCCTTGGTTCCATCTGTCCAGAGCCCCCCTGTCAGGAAGGTTTAGAGGTGTCAGGCAGAGCCCAGAGTGGTGGATGCTGAATGTTGGGAATTATCAGCCCCTGGAGCAGTGTAATCCCAGCAGTGCCTTTATTCCCTGCAATGTTTTTACCCAGTCCCTGAACCCACCTCAGTGCACTACAGAAACACCTGACCAAAAGAGTGAAAATTCATTTATCTGGAAGGGCAATAAATTCGTCTGAGTGGACCTTGGGACTACTGTGAGTGCTGCTCCTCACACTCAGCTCAGCTCCAGGCTCATGTGGGCACAGAATCTCCTGGCACTGCCTCGTCCTTGCTGGCACCACGTTATCCTGCCCATCTGTCAGAGAGGCACAGGAGAGCACCAGGGCGACATTCACACACCTTCAGTGATCTACACAAACTATCCAGCTGTCAAAAAACCTCCTGGATCGTCCTGGCTGCGACCATGGAGCTCATTCACTACTGACCTCTCTGAACACTTGATGGGAGTGAGATCCCACAACCTACAGGGACCAGCAAGACAGAAGACTGGCAGGACAACCAAATCCAGTGTCACAACCCATGACTGCCCGAGGCTTCTTCCATACAGTTTCCCAAAATCCATCGTTACAAGTCTGATGCTTATGGATCCGTTTCTTCCGTTGCCCTCCCGCTGACCTGCAGATAGTCAGTGATAGAAATTTGTGATGTGTTTTTATGGCCATCAGCTTTGCAGCCCTGTTCTGGAACAGCCAGTCACGCTGTTAATTATTTATCTTTAACCTTTCTCTTTGCTAAATCAATCCACTCACTGACATCAGGGGTTTTACACTTTCATTAAGTGAAAGACGGTGTGTTGATGTTCTACAGGAAGTGTTTCAAGTGATACCTGTAAATGGAATTTAGTAATTACAAAAATCCTGGGTTCATTCCCCAGGAGTCTCTGTAATGGGCTACAGAAATTCAGTGCATACCAGAAGCTCAGATGTGACAGCAATTTAATAGGATTCCCTGTCACTGACCAATGCCTAAGATAAAAGTAGGAACAAGGAGAAGTTATCACACATTATTTCTACTCACTCTGCCCCTGGTAGTAGCACAACACCATGAAAACTTCGTGGTCTCATGAGCAGGCTTCTCATGACAGCAGGGTCACTCTTGTTTCCACGACATATAGAACTGTGGATGGTAAAACAACAACATGTCCAAACTTGCACTCAACTGAGAATTGGAAGCTCTGATGATGGAAACCAGACAAAACCAATCGGATTTCTGAAATATGAGTATTCTGGTAGAGGAATTATTTCCAACCCCATCCTGCTGCAGCCCTCCACTGATAAAAGGAAATACAGTCCTGATACACTGCCATAGAAACAAGTGTTTTTGCCAGATTTTGCATTTAAACAGCCCGTGGCTGCTGAATTTTCAAAGCTAATCTGGCTGTTTCAAGTCTCTGTAACAGCCTAAAACACAGCTCCCATCTCTGAAATTTATAGATTCACAGACGACTGCTCTTCTCTTCCTTTCCTAGGATTAGCTGCAGCATTTCCTATCAGCCCCAGATTAAAACAGCAAATGTCTTTGTTGCATATCATATGCCAGCAATCTCCATTTATGGTCTGAAAATACTCCATAATCCTATTTGCTGTTTGGCTCGGACGATAGAGCTCTTTGGATTCGGTTTCATTTCTTTGGAAAGTGCTGGGTATTTGTTAGTCTGAGACACACAGTCACTGTGCTGAGGGCAAAATTAAAACAAAAAAACCCAGCCAACCAACCAACCACCACCACCAAAGACAAGCCAGAAGCCTTCTGCAATATTATCAGTGAGGAATGATGATACCAACCCAGGATCATAAGAACGCTGAAGGTAAAAGTCTGCCCCAGGTGTGACAGCCCAAGGCCACTCTCAGATTCCAACTAAAAATTAAAATGGCTGTAAGGAAGGGATAGGGAAGGCTGTTTTTCCTCAGGAACTCTTCCCCTCCAAGATACTCCTGGTTAGAAGCAAGGCAAACCAAATTAAATACTTTGATAATTCAGGGGCAAAAAAAGGTTGTAGGAATAACACTGTTATCTGTGCTTTGTCACTCCTGGGTGAGTCCTCATTTCTTCAGATTTGTTCTTATTTTCCACATTCTGTTTTGCACCTTCTGTTCTTGAAGCTTTATACAACACAGATTTGTAAACACCACTAGGAAATGACCCTCAGTAGTGTCAAGTGACAGTTACATGTCCCTGGAAGTGCCTGCAAGTGCTTACCCCGTCCTGGAGTTTCAAATTCTGATTACATTCTTCCTGCTTAACTAAGATAAAAAATGTGAGCTTTCTCAGGTTGTCAAAATATTAAAAAAACTTAAAGAATGTGCAAGGTAATTGTTTATTTTAGTCTTACCTGAATCAGTGAATTCGCCACAGTTTGGGCTACCTAGTGGCAAATTAAAATCACCAGCTGGGAATCTGTCAAACCCCTGCACAAATTACTTTATGGTAGATTGGTATAGAAGGATTATAAAATTCAGAAGGAAAAAAAAAAAGTACAGCTAATGTGAAAATAGCATTTTTTATTAATAAATCAACTGCTTAAAATTTTCAAAGCCCAAGGTATTGGCAATGGTTTTGGAACTCTCTTATTTGCTTCTTACTTCACAGTGGGTTATCAAACTCTTGAGTTTTTGTGGTTTCCTTTATAGTGGCCAAAGTGGAAGCTTTTGATGCCAAGAACTCATCAGCTGTTTGTGTACAGGTGCATGGTAAAGGACTCAGAAAGCAAAATTACTTCTTTAAAGTCCAGTTGTTGATTTTTTTTTTTCTTTACTCCCATGGGTAGTTCTAAACTACATCCGATCATGTTTTAGCACGAAAATGTCGTTTCACAAGGTTTTTAAGTCACGACAGTTCATCTTGTAAATAGTGTAACTCATCTCCTCCCAGAATATCACATACGAATCCAAACACGTTTCATAAGGAGCCTCGGAGTTAAAAAATAACTTGTTGAATTCCCATAACTCGGTGTGATGACAGAATATTTTCACAGCACGTTTGATCTGGTGAGAGAGCAGGACACCAACGCCAGTGTGGGCGGCCAAGTGGGACACTGCTCACTGTGCTGAATTACATCCAGCGTGGATCTGTCACTGGCGATGCACAGTCACACACAGAGCAGATGCTCAAGAAGACGATTCCCTTCAGTTTTGATGGAGAATAACAGCAGAAGTCTTTGAAATTAAAACGGAAGGTGTTCCCCCCAGCACCAATGTTAGCAGAGTGCAGTGAAATGAGCTCAGAGCAGGGGCTTTCACGCCAGCGTAGAATCCCAGAATGGTTTGGGTTGGAAGGGACCTTGAAGATCATCCTTGAAGATCAACCTTCCACTATCCCAGGTTGCTCCGAGCCCCGTCCAGCCCGTCCTTGAACACTTCCAGGGATAGCACACCGTGTGTGGTTGGTTCGGGGCTCTGCCTGGGCACTGTCCCCGTGTCCCTCTGGAAAGGCCCCCTCGCCCCCTCCAACCTCCACAGCAGCACCGCCATTCACCTGACACATCCCGGGGGAGCCGAGCGCTCGCCTGGGGCTTGACCGCGGGCACCTGCTCGGCGCTCAGGGCAATTAAAAGGGGTTTTCTTCCCCCACGGACCCGGAGCCCGGCACCGGGAGCGCCGCGGGCGCCGCCGGCCCCTCAGGGCGGGCGGGAAGGGCGGGAAGGGCGGGAAGCGGCGCGCGCGGGCCCCCCAGGGCAGCGCAGCCCCCCCCTGCCCCCCCGGCGGGTGTTGGCGCCGCCTAGTGGAGGTCCCAGAGGTCGCGCAGGGGCGCGGCCAGGCGCGGGTCCCGCGCGCGCAGCGCCCCCGCGTGGGCGTGGCGGAGCGAGCGCAGCTCCGTGAGGCGCCCCAGGAGCCGCGCGAAGCGCTGCGGGTCCCCCGGGTGCTGCAGCTTCGAGTGCTTGTACAGGATCCACAGCAGCGGCTCCTGCAGCTCCTCCACGTGGCGCTTGTCCCTCAGGAGCGGGCGGTCTGCGGGAGAGCGGCGGGGAGAGCGCGGTGAGAGGGAGGGGGCGAGGCGGCGCCGCTGCCCCTGAGGGGGCAAGTGGCGGCTCCCATGAGAGAGCAATGACAGCTCCCCTGAGGGGGCAAGTGGCACCTCCCCTGAGGGAGCAATGACAGCTCCCCTGAGAGGGCAATGACAGCTCCCCTGAGAGGGCAAGTGGCACCTCTCCTGAGGGAGTAATGACAGCTCCCCTGAGGGGGCAATGACAACTCCCCTGAGGGGGCAATGACAGCTCCCCTGAGAGGGCAATGACAGCTCCCCTGAGGGGGCAATGACAACTCCCCTGAGGGGGCAAGTGGCGGCTCCCATGAGGGGGCAAGTGGCACCTCCCCTGAGGGGACAATGACAACTCCCCTGAGGGGGCAATGAGAGTTCCCCTGAGGGGGCAAGTGGCACCTCTCCTGAGGGAGCAGTGACAGCTCCCCTGAGGGGGCAATGACAACTCCCCTGAGGGGGCAATGACAGCTCCCCTGAGAGGGCAGTGACAGCTCCCCTGAGGGAGCAATGACAGCTCCCCTGAGGGGGCAATGACAGCTCCCCTGAGGGGGCAAGTGTCACCTCTCCTGAGAGGGCAATGACAGCTCCCCTGAGGGGGCAAGTGGCACCTCCCCTGAGAGGGCAGTGACAGTTCCCTCGGGATAAGTGACAGCTCCTCTGAGGGTGGAGTGGCACCTCCCATGGCAGGGAAATGGCAGCTCCCCTGAGCAGGTAAGTGATACCTCCCCTGAGCAGGTAAGTGACACCTCCCCTGAGGGGGCAAGTGACAGTTTCCCCCGGGTAAGTGGCAGCTCCCCTGAGGGGTCGGGTGGCGGCTCCCATGAGGGGAAGGTGACAGTTTCCCCCGGGATAAGTGACAGCTTCTCTGAGGGGGAAGTGGCAGCTCCCCTGAGGGGGCAGGTGGCAGCTTGTTGTCACCTTCCCAGCCTACCTGAAAAGAACACGGTGGTTGCTACGAGCAGGGCGTACTCGGTCTCGGTGACTTTGAGTTCCCCCATGCTTCTGTAGAAGTAGAACAGGGCGGTGATGAACTCCTCCGTTAAGCCTTAAGGATGGGGGAAAAAAAAACCCAAACAAGCAAATAAAATAAAAATATTTGAATAAAATTTTTTTTTAATAAAAACCAAAACAAAATAATCATGTTATTATTTCAGTGCAGAAACAGTTGCAAATCATCTTTGCCTGAAGCATAGGAGATGATACCCCCCTGGATCCACCTGGATCGCTCTGTCCAGTGCTGGGCTCCCCAGGACAAGGGACATGGAGCTCCTGGAGCAGGTCCAGCAGAGAACGTGAAGGTGATGAGGAAGCTGGAGCATCTCTCATTTATTTTCATGGTAAATTCTGGATTTGATGATCTTAGAGGTCTTTTCCGACCTAAATGATTCCATGACTCTAAAAAAGGCTGAAGGGAGCTGGGGCTGTTCAGCCTCAAGATGAGGTGGCTGAGAGGGGACCTCATCCCTGCCTGTCAGTGTCTGCAGGGAGGGGTCAGAGGGTGGACCAGGCTCTGCTCAGGGATGCCCAGCAATGGGATAAGAGGCAATGGGCAGAAACTGATGCCCAGGAAGTTCCACCTGAACACGGGGAAGGAACTCCATCACTGTGTGGGAACAGATTGTCCAGAGAGGTTGTGGAGTCTCCCTCACTGTGGATATCCCAGAACTGTCTGGACACAACCCTGTGCCATGTGCTCTGGGATAACCCTGCTTGAGCAGGGAGGTGGGACCAGATGACCCATTGTTGCACCCTCCAACCTGAGCCATCCTGTGATTCAGTGAATCTTTTAAGGGAAATAGTTAACAAACTTCAGGAAAACAGTGTTCATTTCTAATCCAGTAACAGAAGCTGTGTTAAGGTTGTACTGTGGAGCTTTGGATTTATATCTAGCTCAAGGCTTTATCCTAGGAGATAGTCAAACATGAACACCACCTCTTCCTATGAGGATTTAATGCCTGTGTGTGTGATCAGAGCAGCTCAAGGAAGAGGGAGCCCAGGGGCCACAGGGACAGTGTTGCTCGGTGTGATTAAGAAGAGGGCCAGCAAAGCAAAAGATTCCCAGTATTTAGATTCTACTTCCCTTACCTGTGGTAGTAGTGGAAGTTGGACTCTCTTCGTTGTGAGACATTTCCATGGAATAAATGTTGTTTTTATCAAGGCTTTGAACGTGACAACACGTCCCATGACCAGAAAGTCTTGCATGACCTGGAACAAGACAGATGACAGTCTCCAGCCAAGCTTAAACTGACTTTAAATATTTGTCTGTATCTGCTTTGAAGAGATATAGCTGAAAATGTGGGAATTTTTCCCAGATCCATGTAGGTATAAAAAAAAAGAATATTTGCATCATTGTTGGTCAAAGTCTCTTGTGTTAAACTTGACACAATATATAATTAGTCATTAACATAGCTAATATTAACCATCCACCCCACAATTTATGCAAACACTCAAAAATGTTGCTTTTTGTTTGGAACTAATGGGAGGAAACCAGAAATCTATTTATTTAGTTATTAAAAAAAATAAATTGTGTGCCTTGAATAAAAAACCTTTAGAAGGTATGTTGTCATTAATGATAATATTTTAAGTACCACTCTGCTTGGGTAGGTAATTATTTGAGATTAAGTGAATTAAAATGAATGGAAGTTTTTTTTTAGATGGCAGAACCTCCTACTGGTGTGAATAGAAAGCTTGTTAGTCAAACTTACTCTCACTTGTTGATGGTTGGCACTGGCTCATTCTCTGGTTGTATATTTGGGCTGACAGCAGGAACATTGCCTCAACTGTTGACCCTTTCAGCAGTGCAATCTGGTCCTCACTGGCTAAACTTTCAAATCCTGCAGAGAAAGGGACATGATCAGAATCAAAGAAGGCTGGGGATGCCTTTAAGCCCCTAACACGAGGTGATAAAATGATTTTTTTAATAATAAATGCCTTTAATGGAAAGGAGGAGCCTTAGTTAAGTGATGTATGTACCAAGGACTGTTGTGATCTTTCTTGCTTGTTTGCAGGTTAGACAATTAAAAAGAAAAAAAAAAGGAGGGGGTAGTTTTAGTGTCCAGTTTTAGAAGATTCACTGGAAGATACAAGTGAAAATTTTGGGACTAAGCAAGACTTTATAAAAAATTTTTTCCTCATTTCTGGCATATACCACATGGCCGAGTACCTGATAAAATTGCTACATTGCTTAGTGTATATTCCCCTTATTCATTGATATATTATTATCTTTTTAAAATTTGTGTTCATCCTTTGACAAGCTCATTATCTGCACTTATCATTCAAGAGCAAAGGACCTTCAGAAATCTCTTCTTGATCCTGATCAAAGCAGGAAATGTAACACCAGGGAAACAAAGAGCTCACCCATTCCTTCAGCTCTTTCTGGCAGTGGTGCTAAATTACATCAAATACCTGCTTTAGACATGGTGATTGACTTTTATCAGGAAGTTTTACAACGAAAAAATTATCACCCTCCCTGTCAAATGTCATTTTGCCAACTTTACACTGAAATGCAGTGGATTTAATTGCATGTTCCCTTGTGCCTTATTGAAGGAAAATATGAATAGGAGCACCTGGTCAGTCCCTTCTGCGCTGCCTTTTCCTTTGAAGGAACATCTGTTTTTTATTTTGATGATTATGATATAGTGCAAAACTCAACTGGATTTCAGAGAATGTGTAATTCACTCAAGATGGTGCTTCCAGAAAATGTCTCTACTCCATGTCAGAAATGGAAAAGAAACCCAATCATAGCAAGGTTTTGAAGTTTGTCCTCACGACAAGTAAATGCTAAGTCGGAAATAAAAAATAATCAGTTGAAAGCGTTTCTTTCTTAAAGCCTGTATTTTTCTGGGATTCGTGCCGTCAGTATGGTTTCTGTAATATTTCCCAAAGGAAGGAACTTACCTGGAAGTCTCTTTGTGAAGTCCACCAACACCTGGACGTGGACAACGGCTGTCTCAGAGAGCCGGAGAAAACTCTCCTCAGCACTCGCAGTTTCTTGCAGCTGCACGAAAGAGCGTTTGGACATGGGATATAACCAAGGCACAGTGCTGGGGACAACAGTAACTCACCAATGCAGGCTGAGTGTGCTGGATACCTACAAACTTCTTGGCTTCCTCGAGGGGAATTGTGTATTTTTGGTGTGCTGCTACAATGTGGTCGAGAAGCTGGTGTTCCCCTGGAGTAAGTTCCATCTTCTCTGGGATCTGTTAAAAAAATAAACCAATCAGGTGACAATGACTCGGGGTAAAAATAAATTATAAAAGGAGGTATTTTAAATAGAAGAATATCCCACTTTTCCAGATCTTGTTGTAGATGATACATGCTTACTGTTCAGTCCCTCATCTTCCAGCTTTATGTTGCAAAGGAAACTGCTCTTCTGCTTGAAATTCTTCCTGAGTCGCTTTGACTTACACTGGACTTCAGTCAGCAAACCTGCAAGGCATGGAAGTGGGCATCAATATGTGTATTTTGAATTAATTACAACTTGAAATCATCTCTTTTATTAGAGATGACTCGAGTCTTGCAGCACAGGAGCCATCACCTGTAAGGAACTACACACTAGAGGATATGGCAATGTGTGGTTTGTCAGGTGAGTTCATGTTCAGTACCCACCAAAGGCCTCAGGGTTTCCAGTCTCCTCCTTTCTCGTGACTCTGTGACATACAGGCATCAGAATTTTTCATCAAAGACCATCATGCCGTTTTTATTTAATTTTTTTCCCCAAACACTAAAGCACCTCTGATCTGCTCACTGCTGTCCTGACAGGGCTCAGGATATTTAGCTTCTCTTCTCAGTACTTCCTTTTTTTTTCTTGTAATGTCTTTGAACAGGAGTCCTCTTAGCTTAGGGAGATACTTCCCAAGCATTGCTTGTTTCTGCACATGAAGATGCTACAGGTGCTGCAGACTCCAAAGATAATTTCCCTACAGCCAAACGAAGCTTAGACTGATATCATTTAGCTCTAATGAGAAGGGATTTACTTTGGAAAAGGCTTTATCCAGGTTGATTAGTGAAGTGGGCAGCATGGAAGGAGCACTTACATTCTGCCAGCATTCCCACAGCTTTGCACTTCTTCAGGCGACATTCCTGGCACTTCCTCCTCATGTACATGTCCATCTCACAGTGCCCCCCGTTCTTGCACCGATACACCGCGTTCTTGGTTATGCTGCGGCGGAAGAACCCTGCACACAAGGGTCAGGTCATGGCTCCAGCAGCCTAAGGAGCTTTACCTCACAGGAATTTAAGGAATTAAAAGTGTCTTTCAGGTTTGGTTGGTTGGGGATTTTAAACGGAAACGTTACCTCGATTTTAAATTTACTTTTTAACAACATAGTTATGTCTGGTTCTTTCTGACTGATATTAAATGCTGTTTTCCATACATGGAGTCATAGAATCACAGAATATCCTGAGTTGAAAGGAACACACAAAGATCAAGTCCAACTCCTGTTTCTGCACCCCAGAAATCTCACCCTGTGCATGAGAGCATTGTCCAAACACTCCTTGAGCTCTGGCAGCCTTGGGGCCCTGGGGAGCCTGTTCAGTGCCCGACCACCCTCTGGGGGAAGAACCTTTTCCTGAGATCCAACCTAAACCTCCCTGACACAGCTCCAGCTGTTCCCTCAGGTCCTGTCACTGCTCACAGAGAGCAGAGATTGGAGCTGCCCCTCTGCCTCCCCTTCAATATAACAAGTTAAATATAATTAGTAAGTCATTACTACTTGCTTTTATATAATTTTAATAATAAGTAATAACACTCAGGAAAATCTATAATAAATGGTCACGTGAAAATCAGTACCTGCTTAAACAGAGATTATTCTATTGAGTCATCTGTGCAAAAATGAGATTCCTGAGGTGCTCATATTAAATACAGACTGAAAGCATTTCTTCAAAAAATGCTGTAAAAATGTGAATCTGGGAGTAAGTGTGTTAGGTAAGGGGCTCCTTAGATAAATTAAAACCCTCTGTAGAAACAGCTTAAAACCCCACAAAACCTGTTTGCATAAGTCAGAGGTGTGGAACGCTGCGGGGCCAGCCCTGGCTCAGGTGCTCACCTTTGCAGCCCTCGCAGGTCAGGGCGTTGTAGTGGTACCCGGAGGCCTTGTCCCCACACACCACACACAGCTCCTCCTGCCCCTTCAGCCTCCCCGGGTGGGGCAGCCTCGGCCTCTTTAAGCCCTGGTACCCCCCGTCATCCCCGGGGGGAGCCACCAAGGGGGGTTTGCTCAGCTCGCAGCTGCTGCCCACGCAGGGCCCGTCGCTGTAGGGAGGGTCCAGGCCGTAGGGGCCATATGGGGACAGAGGGGGCTGGGACTGCAGTGCCGGGGCAGGAACGGGCACTGCTGAGTACTGGCAGTAAGGGGCACTCTGGAAATCCGTGTCTGGCAGCTGGTAGTTGATGTGCTCCGGTAAAACGTCTGAAAACAGGGGAAATGGAAAGTGAGATGAAAGCCTGGAGAATATCTCAACATCAGACATTCCAAAGCTTAAAAAAAAATCATAGATTTAATATCACAAATATTAGAGGAACACATTTTCAGATGGGCAGACTAACACACTTTTTAAATGTGCTACCTGTAATGTTCTTAAGTAAAATCTTAAGTGTGGTAAAAATGGCTCAGTAATGGTTTGGACAATGTCATGTGGATGCTACTGGATTATTGTTGGCACATAACTGAATATCACTTGCCAACTGATGATACAGCTGCTTTTAGGTCTTACATTTGAGGGTTGTTTGTTGTCCACATTACAGTCAAGTATCTTCCGTAAGTGAATTTTTTAAGGAGTGAAATTTTAGTTATCAATACATATCTCAGGCATCATTTTGAAAATGTTGCACGAGAGTCTGAGAAAGATGGTCTAGAAATTATAGAGTGGTAAAAAGTACTGTGACAGGAGTCTTAAAGTTGAAGTCAACAGAATAAAAAGCAGATCTTGTTTTATTTAGTATTTCCCCACATATGTCTTTATAGTTATGAGAGTTCATTTTAGTAAAATATAGGTACAGAATTGTAAAGAGAGTTTCTTCCTGCCCTTCTGTCTGTTGAGTTTTAATTTTATCCAGCCCCCCTTAAATACACACAACTGTACCAAAGCAAGCCTGTGCAACATGAATCATGTTTCCTTCTTCCTTTGGGATTGTTCAAATCTCTGAAAAACCAAACTGAAAACCATTTTCAAGGCAATTCAGAGTTCTTTTTCTTTTTAATGGGCATCAGGCCCCGCCTTTACTCTTCCAGAATCCAATCAGTTACTGCAATTACAGTTACATAACATATAGAATATGCATTATCTATTTATAATTATCTGGAGTACTGTAATAAAAGCTGTGTCTGCTCCATGCAAGTCGAAGGGAGACAGCACCAGGAATGTTTATATGGAATGATCAGTCGGAATAATCACAGTATTTCAATACTTTCAGTGTAGGCTTGGCAGTCAAATGTGTAGCTTCTAAGAGCTTTAAAGATAAACTAAAACAGAGAAAAAAAAGTGGGAATTGCCACAGATGTTCATTTTACAGTATTTTCAGGATATAAAGCTGTTGCTTTACTCACCATAGTACTGGATGGGCTCGGGGAGACAGTACCCGTCGGGGACGGTGACAAAGGTGTTGGCCATGCTCTGCTCCCAGCTGCACTGCTTCATTCACCCTGCGGGGGGGGTGGCTTTTAAATGGCAACCTGGAGAAATGGGAAAGCAGGAGAAACATCCCGTGAGGAAGAATTGCTGGGTAGGTTTAAGGCAGGGAGCTAAACCCAGAAAACTCCACAGTATGGGAGAGTTTGCAGATTATAAGAAAATCAGAGGTATAAAGTCATGTAATACCCTCAGTGAGGCTACAGAATGTTTGACTGTCCTCACAGTACAGGTTCAGGATAGAATCCATTCCTAAATTTCCAAGTTATAGTAGAACTGTTTTGCTCTGAATTTTACACAAAACCATGGTGGGGGAGTAAAATTAATCCCTGGTAAATTCTCTAGTTCAGGAAGATTAAAAGGAGTTTCACTGGATAGAAAAAACTTGCTTTGGGCATTTGCACTGGTGTGGATGTGGAGGGTGTCCTGTTTGTGCACAGAGATGGGCTTTTAGTGAATTTGTTCCTTTCACTCTTTATGCAGATCTGAAGCAAGTAAATATAGGAAAATAGCATGGAAAGGCCAGCATGGAATCTGTCTTCTCCCCATGTAAGTAGTTGTTTATGCAGTAAAAGTCAGCTTTGCCTTGCTTGAGCACTGCCTGATTTACATTTAAGAGCCTGTATTCCTTTAAGAGTGCAAAGATCCTGTGAAAACAAAATAAATTAATATCCTATAGGATTTATTTCCTCAAGAGAGCTTCCCACTGTCCCTTGAACACTAAGGGAGCTTGGGCTCCTGGCTGGATGCACTGACATTCACAATAACACAGTGTACTGAGAGCTCACAGTGACACACTGAGAACAGCTGCTGTGCTCCGACTTTAAAACTTACCTTATTTTTCAGTAATTTGAATTATAAATTCAAACTGAGAAAGAAGTTGTGAAAAAGGGTGCTCTAAAAACTCTTACAAGAGTTTTAGAAAAACAAAATGTAATGTCCCTATGGACACTAGCAGGAGCTGGGTTTGGGTTTACATTCACAGAGCAAACTCTGGTACTGCTGAGCAATTGAGAGGTAATGGAGCAGCCATTAGAGGAGTAAGTAGGAAATGTTTTCCTTGCCCCCTTGTCCCTCTGCATGTGGAATGTGGTCACTGGTTAAACAAATGTTGAATCTGTGCCCATTGAGTAAGGGCAATTTGCCCATGAACCACTCACAGGCTTTGCCTGAGCAGACAGAAAGGACAGAAAAGATGATGAAGGTGTGGAAGTATTTGGAAAATACAGCAAAGCAAAAGCCTACCCTGCAACAGGATTCTCTGTCTGTGCCTCTTGCAGCATTTACAGCAATTTGGGTTTAAAGGTCTTCCTGGAAAGACTCCTATGGTGGGGTTTGGGTAATACCTGTACCTTGCTGTGAGTGAGAAAATGAATGTATCATTCCAGGGAACCTGAAGTCCTGCCTGCAAAGACACACACCCCTTCCCCCAAACTGGACGTGTCTTTGGGGCTGAACACTTTCGCTTTGTGTTGTCAGCAGAAGGTGAAAGGATGCGGTGAGGCTGGAATGTTGGGGTTTTTTGTTATCTCTGCTAGTAAATATTTGTTTCAGAGCAGAATGACTCACTGAATCGTGAGGTCCTTATCAGTTAGATCAATTTGGCCCCGGGCAAAGTCCACATTTTTTCCCAAAAATGTGTATTTGCCAAAGAAATGCGTTTCTGAATTGCTGTAGTTTCTTTAAATGAAATAGAAAAGGAATAGAAGCTAAAATAAAATCACACTGATCCACCGGGATAAAAACAGTATATTGGGAGGATGAAGTACATATTGCCAAATGTAAAGTGGTCAGTTGATTAAACGTTCTAAATCTTGGAAGCAAATTTTCCTTAGGCAAAGTTTCCTCAAATCAGGTACTGTGTGAGAAAGGATTTAGCCCTTCTTAACAGATTTTTGTGACTGATAACAGTGATTGGTTGCAACCACAAAATTCCCAGCTCAGAATGAGACTTTGTAAACTGAAATTAAGAGAATGTTCCAATTAACTGATTATTAATTTTAAATCCAGTGCTTATTTGGGAATGCTATACTGTCTTGAAACAAGATTTATGCATGACCGTGAAGTGTTTAATTTTCTGACATTTGACAGTTTAGGGTTGACAGGCTTGTTCTCCTGATATAACAAAGCACTGGGCTTTTTAAAAAAATAAAACTAGAAAGAACAGAGTAAGATATCTAAGGAAGGAACTTCATTTCCCAGGACAGGAAAGTTTTGATTGTTTATAAGAGTGACTGTGATCGTTGTGTGTTCCAACCTTTGCCTCACCCCTGGTATGTGAGTGAGGCAGCAGCAGGGAAGCCTCCTCCAAACTGAGATCCATTATATGCTGCTCTCCCCAGAGCTCAGTAGCCATCCCAAATCCCTCACACCTCCTGGGAGTGAGCCATGACCTAAGGGACACTTCCTGAGCCCACACAGATGCTCGTTAACCCTTTGCCAGGCTGGCAGGGGAATTCTGCACGTACCCAATGCATGTGGAGTCCCTGGCAGAACATACCAGACATGCCCAGTGGTAATTTTCAAAACACAATAACTTGGATAAAGCTGAAACAAGGTTGGAGTACCAGGTTTGGGTGTTTGGGGCAGTTACAGCTGTGCCATTCCCAAACCAAAATGTTTTGTGCCCATTTTTCCCATTTCCGTGTATTCACAATATAACCAGATGTTTGCACGTGAGTGCTTTAAAAGGAAGCAAAAATTTAAGTATATTCCCAGAGATGGCACATAAAGGTCTTTAGCCTAAAAAGTGGAAATAGCTGAAAACAAAAGCAGATGAATTTTTTAATCCCTTGTTTCGTAGAACCCCAACACAGATAGGATGGGACTCTTCAGTCCTCAGTCACACAGTCTGGCCTGAAAGAAAATGTCATCTGTGGAAAGGCACACACTGTTCTCTGATTTTCCCTCTTCTGCTGGGAATTTCCATGTGTGAAATCCTGACCAGGTGGGCAGTGGTGTTTTTTTAGAACAGGTGACCTACACTTGGGGTTGTTTAAGCACGTTTGAAAATGTTGAGCTTTTACGGGCTTAGTTTTGCCAGTGGTCAAAAATGTTCAATATAACCCAGAATGTGTGTCCATTCAAGGGGTTGGTTATCCATTTTATATAAAAATTCAGCCAGGTTCAGTTCGTAGTCCCAGCTGACAAACTTGTCAATTTATAAAAGATGGAAACCATGAAGGAAAAAAAAGCCATTGATTGATAAAAGCGAAGCAGAACCATAAATAGAATGTACACATTCAGACTAGAATCTGTACTGTACATCTATTTACTGCTATTTATGGTGAAAGATGTGGTTTTCATCATTTTTATTGCTGCAAAATCCCGTACCATAAAGTAACATATCATCAGCTTCTCAAATTTATTTAAGATGCAAAACATCCTTCACGTCGCAGAGGCACAGGGAGCCCTGGCAGGGCTCTGTACTGACAGTACTTCAGCTGCTTTCGTAAATATTTTGACAATGGAGTCATGGAGAAATTTCTTGTTTACCGGGAATTTTAGGGGCTCGAGCTGAAGGTCTTCACCAACTATTTGAACACACCTTGGGGCACATTAATGGTCACGTAGTGGAACTCGAGGGCACGTTTCAGGCTCGCTGTTAATCGCTGCACTTTGCTTGCTGCTGGAAGCAAAGCTTATTTTTTCTCTTGTTTGTGAAAATTTCAACCAAAAACTGAAAAAAAATGTTACCTCAGTACGATCAGTGGCAACTATGTGTGATGGCAGGTGATATGTTCCATTTCACCCAAGCAATTTAGTAATCACTTGATTAATTAAAGGATGATTTCGCGGGGGAAGCTGTAGGATCACTTGATTGTCCCTATGTGCAGATTATATGCATTATTAAGGTTTTATCTCTTCCTCCCAGTTTTAATGTGCCAAGAAGCTCCCCAGAGCTACCCTTTGAAGAAATCCCACTCTTCTTCTCCTTAAATGTGTTCTCTCTTGGTCATACAATAATCATAATAAGAATTGGCTTATTTCTCTAACGGATTGTGTTGCAATTAGCTTGAAATCTTCCTTTGAAATTGTTACCCTCATGAATAATTATTTCAAAGGTATAATTTTTATGCACTGTAAAATAAGAGGTTGTTTGAAACTCACAGATTTCCAGGTACTTTTGGGAAGGGAAACAAATAATTTAATTTAAAAGTCGTTTTTCTTCCCTCTCTATGTCAAATGAAGTACTGTTGGAACAAACCCTTGGCAGTAGGATACCAAATTTAAAAGCTCGTGTTTTCTGTTTTCATTTAGTCAGATGTTTAAAAAGAAAGGGAAAAAAAAAAAAGGGGGAAAAGAAGGAAAAAAGCCCAATGCCCGAAATCTTTTCACATGGCAAATTGATGTGTGGCTGGAGCAACAATTCATAATCCCAGAGCATGCAGAGAAGGAAATTAAATACTCACCGGAGTTCCAGGGAGCTTCTCTCTTCCAGAGAGTCCGTGGGGCTGCAGCGCTGATCCCAGCTCTGATCCCAGCCCTGATCCCAGCTCTGATCCAGCTGGAGCAATCCAGGCCTTTCCCTATTTATCAGTTTGTGTGCACACACCAGGCTCCAGACACTCCGCAGAGCAATCCTACGGCTCCGAGACACGAACTTCCCACACAGCCTTGGCCGGGGTCGGAGCGAGGGCAGCTGCGAGCCCACATAAATCAAATAATAACTGGGTCATCAGGGACAGAGGCCATGGGGACCCTCACGTCACTGCTTCCCGGAGCGCTCCCTGCCCCACCACCAAATATTCTGCTCTCTTGCTAGAATCTCAAATTCTCCCTTTTTGGTGGCTTCTCATCGACGCGTCGGAGCGTGGATGGACAGTGGTCACTTCCCGGGCAGAGCAAGCACTGCAGTGGTATTATTTGGAGATTTCTGCATGGCATGGTAATTTCATTTGGAAACACTGGATCAGGGCAGGATTGCCAAACACCAAACGTGTCCTCCCTGTTCTGATCCTGACATCCCTGGCACGCACAAGGCTCGCCTGTACATTAACAATTTCAGTGAATTTACGTTCGTGTTGCTGCTAATTTTGCAGATTTTCATTCTTAATCGCCCAAATATTTCCATTATTAATAATTTCTAATAACTTAATATTACTCTTTGATGTTTTCATCACTTCCTAGGTAGAAGATGTGACATTTTGGATAGGGAATCTCCTGCTGTTCCACGTGCTCCCTAACATGCTGCCCAGCAGGTTGCAAACCTCCTCACTCCCTTCCTTCTGTGTAAGAGCAATTCTCCATTTACCTCAGGAAAAACTGGTTCTGTCCTGTACTTCATGGGATTAGGTGGCAAAAGGATAAAATAATTTCCTGTTGGATATCTTACAGCAAAGTCACTTAAAATAGTCTTTAGGGACAGTGGGTTTTCATGGATACACAGCAAACTGACATCACCCTTCAAAGGAGGGTCATGTTTGTATCCATGGGCTCCAGAGAAAAGCAGCAATAAGGCTACTTATTTCCATGTAAAATGGCACCATTTGGGAATCTTGGAGTGGAGTTTGAGTCTGGCTTTCAAGAACTAACGGGATTGACTGACAGATGTTATTTGAGCATATTATGGGGTTTTTTGAGTTTTCAAATGTCCTGCGTTGGTCAGGTGTGGTGATGGAGGGCTGGAATGCATAGATGATACAGCAGACACAAAGATAATGATCTTGTAAGCTTAATTAGGATCAGCATTTGTCTTTCTGGCAAAAGCAGCCTCAGACAACAGCCTACTAAATTGTCAAAAAAACCCTCAGTGGTAAAAACGAAGAATTTACAATTCATAGAACTAAGATTTTTTTTCCATAGCAGTATTTCTTTCACATATCCCATTGGCTTTTTCATCCAACCTTTCTCATGGAAGCGGGAAAAACAAGCAGAGGTTTGTGAAATATTGCCTTTAGCTTGTAAATACTACTGACTTGTATTTTTAGCACTTTTTCTAATAGAAGCCACCAAGTGATAAGCTGGTCAAATGTAGCTGTGGGATGAGGGTATTTAGAGCCTGTTGACTCTGGGGAACGTGAAGCCCAGTTTTTTAAAAGCTATCAAATCCCCATTCTGTTCATTTTATAAAGCCTAGTGGATTCAGAGTAAATTAAATCTCTAAAATAAATACGTAAGAACCTAAAACTTACTTGTAGTATGAATAAACAGCAGTGCCACGTTAAGTATTAGCCCGTGGTTGTTTACTCCAACCCCCACCACGGTGTTTTCATAGCTGCACTAATAAAACTGTTGTGCATTAGTCATGCAGTGATTCAGACCAGGTTAAATACATGTACTTATGTTAAATACAGATATTTACATTATTTTAACAAATCGCTGTTCCTGCTCAAAGCTCAGCATGACAAAAATGGGAGATCTGAGGGCACACGTGAGTCACCTGAAGGACTGCTTCAAAGAAGAAAAGAAACTGTTTTCCATGCTTGTAAAGAATCAAGAAACAAAAAGGTTATTTAGGAATAAGGGAGGTTTAAATTAGATACTAGGGAAAGCAATTACTGTGGTAAAAATAGAGCACTGGAGTAAGTTGCTTGTACAATCTTCACTGGATATTTGGAAGATCAGTTTGGGCAGAACTTGAGAATTGTTTTTTTTGGTCTGTAAGGGAGGAAAACGTTTTTTTAAGCTCCTTTCCAGCTCTGTTTGCTTTTATTTTCCTATACATACATCAATTTTACAAAACACTGCTCACTGATGAAGTCTCTGATCAGTCCCATGCCCAGAGCCCTTTCAGTGGGCAAAGTAAATAATCACAGACTCCAAGCATGATTTACTAGAGGTGAGTAAATAAAGTGCTACTCATGGACACGGCCTGAAAACATTAGCTGAGCAAGTTCGTGCCATGGGCCCACATCTAGAAGTGGCACTGAAGTGGAGAGTATGGGATGTTTTCCACAGAAATAAGGCATGTTTTCCATGGAAAATAAGCAGATGTGGTGACACCAGCCTGCCCTGGACACTGTGTTGCAGCACTTGTGCAGCCTCACTGCCACCAGTGGAAACTGAACCCCCGTGGAGTGTCTGCCTTTGGGCAGCTGGGGCTGAGGATTTGGGCAGTGGGGAAGCTGGAGATGAAGGAAGAGTTGCCCTGGGTCAATACCTGTTTCCAGGCTCAGCAGAACTCCCTGCTCATCTGAACTGGAGATTTGAGATCTCTGTGACTTGCTTGGTATCCGAATAGTTAAAGGAAATCGTATCTGCTCCAGCTGGATCTTCTCTGCATAACTGACCCGTTTGGCTCGATCTGGAATTGGATTGTTTACGTAACTTCAGTAATTAACCACTATCGGCCTCATTAATGAAACATAAACCACCTCTCCTGCTCATTTATAAAGCATTTGTCAAACAAAACTCAAACAAAGGGCAGAATCTCAGCAGAGGAGCAGTCCTCCAAAAGCTACTGAGCCCTGACTGCAAGTCAGGACGGTCACTTTGTTGTTGTTTTTCAGTAGAACTGAAACAGAAGTGATGGCATCGTCTATTGCTCTTGGCTAACTTCTCCCCAAACCATCTGAGATCTGTCACATGAGGGCAAGGATGCCTCGGCAACTATTTTGGCCATTTCAGTACAAAATACTGATGTCCCAGCTCATTACTGTAAATCATTAAATGATGAAAGCAAGAGTCAAATACTAAACGATTGGAAGCTCTTGGAAAACTAATTGCTCATTACAGTAATCGTTGTTCTATGTGAGTTAAAGGTTATATTGAAATATAGATTATTTCATTACAGGATTAAATCTCTCCTGCTAGTAAACTCTTCTAAGCAATATTAAAGAAAGCTGAGTATTAACAATACAGCTCATGTATTAAAGTGATCTAGCTTAAGCTTTACCTATTTTTGGTTTAGAGAGATTAAATGGTTTAGAGGCATAAAATACACTGGCAGACAAATCCTTGCCAAAAATTTGGTGTTCTGAGAGCTTGCATTTACTATTTGTTAAGGAACTCATGAAAAACCTGCAAGTTTTCTGTTCCTCCTCTCTCCTGGATTATTTACTGATCTTCCAAAGGTGCAGCAGTGCTGGCACTGTTGGGATTTTCTGCATGGGCAGGGATGGACCTCAGTCGTGGGTGAGAAACAGCACAAAGCCTCAGGACTAACAATTTTGGATGTTGGTGTGACCTTGCACAGTGAACAGCTCCCCTTCAGCATTGTAGAGCACGAGTTCATTCAGGTGACTTAGTGTGAGATAATATAGATACTCTTCTCTTTTGCATCAAATGCATCAGACAAATCATCAGGGTCAGATTGGAAGGGAAATAACTCCGGAGAAGATGGAAGCTCTCGTTAAGTTCTTAAATGCTTTCATGGGAGGAAATGCTGAAACATCAGACCAGAGAGGAAAACCAATTTTGATCTTTTTTTAAGACTGATTTTTTCCTTAATCATGAAGTTGTTGGATAGTTTCACCGTGCATTTTCTAACAGGCTTGTAAGGCAAATCTTGAAGAGTTAAACTGTTGAAATACATTGAATTTTAATGCAGGAGCCAAACTGCTTTGAACTCACCTGAAAATCTCAAGACAGCCTACAAAATATTCCTGTTCCTGAAGGCAGAGGAGGTCCAAGAAGCCCATCCATTCTACACTCACAATGTGCATGGGTACCCTGACAACTCCTCCTTTAAGTGTCTTGTGCCAAATCTGTTTCTCCTTGGCTGGAAGACCAAGATTTGTCAATAAAATGCTCCAGTGCATTGATATTCATCCAGGCATGATGGGGAAAAAGATAAAGATCTTAATTAGGCTTGATTACAATCTCCTGCAGGGATCTCCGAGTTGGTAATTCATAGGGAGTACTTGTAACTTTAAGCACTGGAGTGACTGTACTTTGCAGGTACAGCAAAGGGAAGCCAAGTCCTGGACCTGATTTCCATAAAGCAGAAGATCTTGACACTCTGTATTAAGCATTACAAAATAATTATGGTGGAATCCCTTAATCAGCATTTTATCAGCAGTGGAGTCTTGCTGCTGAGGGACTGAACTAACTGGATACATCCATTTATCAATGATAATGCTTTTCCTTTTTTCCAGCCTGGATTCCATCTTGAGGACATTTGTTTTAATAGGGAAAAGAATATTAGACTCATAAATGTGAGTGCTGTGGTGCAGTGGGTGACTCCTCAAGATTTATCAAAGCAGGATAATTAGGATGAACAATAAGAGTGAGTTTCTTGGAAATAACTTTTGTCACAGGACAACTCTGGTTTATGCCACATTAATCCACCTTGAAGTATGGGAAGTGCAAGAGGAGGATTCACTTGGCCCCCTGGTCTGAGTCTCTGTGCTACAGTTTTGTTGAGGGCAGTGCCAGTGAAACTGTGAGAGTAGCTGATGGTTGTGTTGACACCATCAGTTAATTGTAAAAGCAAGCAGTCAGAAAGTGTTGGGGGTGTGGTGTAGTTTGCTTTTCAAAC